ATTTAAACTGAATATTTCTACATCGCTAAGCATTTATTTGAAATGAAGATTATATTTATTTTTTTCCAAATAATTTACTTTTAAGAGTGAACTTAGTTTTGGATTTTATTGAGAGGAAAGACTAGATGAACACATCTGCACAAAAGTTTCATAAATATATTCAATGGCATGGGATTTCTGATTTAAGATACATAGCTAATTCTTAATTCTAAAGCAGCGGTCCCCAAACCTTTCTGGGTTGGTGGCCTGGCTGGAAGGGGGAGAGGGGAACAGGGCCACATGACTGGTGGGCCAGTGTGCATGTGTGCAAGTAGTTTGACTTGCATGAGCAGCTGGCATGCCATGCACATGCAGCTCATATTGTACAAGTGGAGCTGCATGCATGTGTGCACATGCGCTGGGCTGCTGCTCATGCAAGTCGAGTTGTGTGCACGGGCACATCAACTTGCCTCTCATGTGGCAAGTCCATGAATAGTCCATGGTCACATTGGGGACCCCATTCTAAAGTTCTCATCTTCTACTATTTTGTCTGCATAAACAAGGAAGCAAAGGACATTCATAATTAGGAATTCCATGACACAGAGTGGAACGAGTTTCCTTCTTGTCATTTTGAGGAAATTCTATGGCAAATCTAGGCAGCATACTAAAAAGCAGCGACTACCCTACCAACAAAAGTGTGTATAGTCCAAGCTATGGTTTTCCAAGTTGCAATGTATGATTGTGAAAGATGGACCATAAGAAAGGCTGAGCGCTAAATGAATTGAGGCCTTTGAACTATGGTGCTGGAGAAAACTCCTGCGAGTCTTTCAAACCGGTCAGTCCTAGAGGAGATCAACGCTGATTGCTCTTTAGAAGGCCAGGCCCTGAAGATGAAACTCAAATGCTTTGGCCACCTAATGAGAAGGAAGGATTCATTGGAGAAGAGCCTAAGGGCAAAAGAAGAAGGGGACAAAAGAGAATGAGGTGGCTGGATGGAGTCACAGAAGCAGTAGACGTGAGCTTAAATGGACCCCAGAGGATGGTAGAAGACAAGGAAGGTCTGGATGAACATTATCCATGGGGTCACATTGGATCGGATATGACTTTGCAACTAATGACAACAAAGCACCTGAATCCAATTTGTTTACAGTTCCTTTAAATCTGTTCAATATTTGCTTAACATGAGTATGTTTTGTTTTACTTTTTGTAAAACGCATCATACTTTGACAACAACAATTTTATAAGTAACATTTTATGGGTTTTATTGTGGGTTTTGTCTCTAGTTTCACACCTTTTCTTTCTGTTTTTGATCTGGTCTATGATTGTAATAAAAATCTGGTTTTGTATATCATTTAAGTAAGAACCACCAAAGTGGCATAAATGGCCATCTTTCAACTGATTCAGCAGTATGATGGTGAAAACTACGCAGAGAATAAAGTTGATCTGTGCTGTGAATCTCATAAGACTGGGATTCTTCGGTTTGTTACTTCTATGCTGCTTTTTGAGGGTGCAATAAAATCAAGAAAGAAAGCCAACAATGAAGAAAAAAACAATAAGGGCAGTATTTAAACATAGAAGCAAGTATACAACAAATTAAATGGCACTAGAAACAGTGAAAAAGCACATTAAAGGCAATATTTTAGAAACAATGCTTGCAGTTTTTTTGCTAGTCATCAGGAAATATCTAATGACTGAGCCAGAGGCCTTTCAGCTGTAATTCTTTTCCATATCTCTGTATTAAAGACATTTTGACATTTGTTGCAGAAGTTGGCACAGAGAGAAGTCTCATGGACAAATTCTCATTTTTTTCTTCAGCAGAAAGCAAATAAAATAAAATAAAATAAAAATGCCTGTAATAATTTCTTAAAAGCAGAGCTTCCCTTTAGCAATTAAAATGCTTCTGGAAAAGCTTAATCCTAATAGAACGTGCCTTGGGTTTCTCATAACAAAATATCTTCTAGATCTCCACCCAGGGTTGGGCTTCAGAAATTTCAGCAATGGGTTCTCTGCCTGGTTGCTGGGTGGGCGTGGACATGGTGGGTGTGGCCTAGTCGGCCTCCTGCACCATGCGGGGGGGGGGGCATTTTCACCTTCCTTAGGCTCCTTTCCTCGAGCCTCTTGGAGGGCAAAAACTCTGCAAGGGCCCTGCCCTTACCTCACATCCAAAATGGGCCATGTGGAGACTCCTGGCAGGGGTGGGACAGGGTGGGCAGGGCCAGCCAGGGGTGGGATATGAAGGTTCTCTGAACCAGCCATAATGTTAGCTATGGGTTCTCCGAAACCCAGATGAACCCATAGCAGCCCTGTCTCCACCCATGAACATCTGAAGTCTTTTTTTTTCTCCTCTGAAAGATTTCTAAAGCTCCAAGTGAATGAAAACAAGTAGGAATAAGTTGAAGAATTTCTCTCTGCCCTACAGTAAAGGTGTGATAATACTGTACAACCAAATATTTCTCGGTATATCACCTCGGTACACCCACGTTACACCTATCCTCTGTGAGCTGCACTGGCTACCGATCGGTCTCCGGATACGCTTCAAAGTGCTAGTCGTAACTTATAAAGCCCTTCATGGTATTGGACCTGGGTACTTGAGAGACCGCCTGCTGCCAATTACCTCCCAAAGACCCGTCAGATCTCACAGTCTCCACTCACTCCTCCGGGTTCCGTCCACCAGCCAATGCCACCTGGCTACCACCCGGGGGAGGGTCTTCTCT